AGTAGCGTTGGGTCGTTAGTTTAGCACTTCGGCTGTTACCATGTTGGGCTATTGAAACGGGCTATTTCCTTATAAATGTGGCTTCATGCTTTTTATATTTAATGAAAAAAAAGGACTTATTTTTCTTCTTTTTATTATTTAGGGAAATTCATTAATAGGGTTATAAATTGTTTGTAATTTGTGACTAGAATATAACTAACATCATTTAATAGGTTAGCCCAGCTGATCAAGGTTGAACCTATAAAAATACAAATTTGTTAATAAAATTATGATAAATAACTAACCGAAGTTACTGCCTAACAGCAAAAAAAAAATGTTGATGAGCAAGAAAAGGTTCAGAAAAAACTAAAACCAATCATTGGGGAAACGATCCTACAAATCTCTTGAGCTGAGGCTGGATTGAGAGATAAATGCAAAAGGAAAATATCAGGGGGTAACAAAAAAAAATAAAAAAATAAAAACAGAGGAAGACCAAAAATGCTTTAGCCATCCTAATTTTTTGTTTTGAGAGCCTTGTTTTCAAAGATGTCTTGTTTATTTATCTCAGCCCATATCTTTGAAAATGAAATATAACAATATATGTTGGTGAAGTCACATGAAAAGGTTAAAAAAGCATTGTGATTAGGATGCCAAGATCATTTGAAGTTAGAGGTATTGAGTTGAGTCGGAAGAGATAGGAGAAACTAAAGCTATTTTTTAAAATCTCTATTATATGGTATATTATTATTAAATGTAAAAGAAAAAAATGATATATATTTTTTTTCTAGACTGTGTTTGGTGAAGCCTCACATGTCTGATCCCGTTCAATTCAATGTCACACAGTAACGTTGCTCAAAAAAGGAAAAATAAAGGAACAACAACAAAAGAGAAGCTTCAGAAGAACCAAGATCAGTCTTGACAACTGAAACATAGCCATTGCCTCTCCTTAACCCTTAATTACTGTTTTCATAATTCTTCCCCTTTTCTCTGAACTTCTGTCAACTCCATTTGCAACAGATTCTTTCGAATCGAGAAAATAACAGTATAACATTATTTTTCCTTCTAATCACCATAATGGATGTTTCTAAGAGACGAATTCTGCTCAAGGTCATCGTCCTCGGCGACAGCGGGTAGTTAAGGTTTTGATTTTCCTTTTCTGCAAACAATCTTTCTCTTCTCTTCTGATTCTTTTGCATATAATTGGATGGTTTTCAGGGTGGGAAAGACATCTTTAATGAATCAGTATCCTTAATCTTTTTCATATATCTGCGCTGCAGCTTTTGTTTCATATGGTATGAATTTGTTTTTAGTTTTAGATACTTGTATTATTCTTGACTGCTTATTCAGATATGTACACAAGAAATTCAACCAACAATACAAAGCTACAATTGGTGCTGATTTTGTGACCAAAGAATTGCACATTGATGACAAGCTGGTTACTTTGCAAGTAAGTATTATATATGTTAGACCTAATGCCTAACTTTATCCTAACAAACCCGCATCTATTCGTGTCAGATACTTGATCCTGAACCTAACATAGGCCTGACTTTCTTCTAACACATTTTATTTGAGTGACAGATATGGGACACAGCAGGACAGGAGAGGTTCCAGAGTCTAGGTTCTGCATTTTACAGAGGGGCAGACTGCTGTGTTCTTGTGTTCGATGTAAATACACTCAAAACATTCAATACACTAAACCATTGGCGCAAAGAGTTTCTCAAGCAGGTATATATCCATCACGGCATCACCCATTTCATGCACTTCTAAACTTTTATTGTATTGAATTCTATAATTTCAACTCTAAAACTTGTTTTCCTTGTAAGCAGGCCGATGCGTTTGATCCTAACACTTTTCCCTTCGTACTAATTGGAAACAAGATTGACAAAGAAGGTGGAAGGAGTCGAGTGGTACTAATTACATCCCATAAATCTTAATATTTAACAATACAATTAATGCTGACAGAGGTTGTATCTTTCTCTACAGGTTTGTGAGAGAAAAGCCAGGGAATGGTGTGCTACCATGGGAAACATACCTTATTTTGAGACCTCTGCAAAAGAAGATTATAATGTTGATGATGCTTTTCTCGGGGCCGCTAAATCTGCATTAGCCAGTGAACATCCATATGACATGTAAGCATATATACCCCCTCGAAGACTTGGGGTTATGAATTTCTTTTTTCATTTTTTCATTGCTGGTGTTTAACTCTATTTCATTCTTGGGTAGTTTTTTGTCCAGCGTTTCAGAAACTGTTGCAGAAACCCAACAGAGAGGAGGATGTGCTTGCTGAAGATGTCATCTGCAAGTGTTATACTGTGTTTTGCTGTGTTTTAGTTCT